TGACTTTGAAATAACCACCGAATTCTGTCACCTCAGCTTGAGGGTGATGAAGAGAGGAGGTGATAGCACCTAGCAAAAGGCAGCTGCCAGCCTGCAGAGATACTGAAGGAAATAGGTCACAGGAGAAGGGGTTGAACTGTCATCCACTTTCTGGAGCAGGAACAACTACATGCTACCTGTCCCCTGAAGGGAGAGGCGTAAAAAGGGCTGCATGGATGCTGCTGAACAGAGTGAAGGATATACGGTGTGTAGCCCCTGTGCTAGAAGGGGAATCGAAGATCAGGATTTATGGAAAAGCTTTATTTCAAAGAAAGCTTGCCTTGTCAAGAAAAGATTTTATTTCTGGAGAGATCAAACACCTCTAAGGGATATGCTGCAGGGGAGAGAAGAGAAGGAGTTTCAGCTGCAGTGAAACAGGACATAAAAGCATGTACTGTACAGTGAAGAGTTGGTCAGATAAAATCCCCTACATGTGAAATTACTGTGCCAAACTGTGAGAGATGTCAGTAGCTGGGTCAGGCAGGAGGTGGAGGCAGCAGAGCTGTCAGAAACTGTCAAGAATCTTAACAAGCAAGTATCCTACAGCCCAGTGGTCTTTGCAGGCAGGTCCTGAGTTCTGAACGAGATCCGAGCTGTAGAAACAATACAGGGAAGGCCTGAGCATCCATGGCCACTGTGCAGCTCTACAGCCAGGGAGCAGCGTTTCCTCTTTTCCAGCAATTCCCTGCGCCCTTATGCCTGGAAACATGCAGAAACACGGCCAAAATAAATGCTACACATTGCAGTTTGATTGATTTCCTTATATTCTGTCAGCAGCACTGGACAAATTACAAATTAAAATGTAGGAATGACTAATTTTGTTACAGGAGGCGAGGACCTTTGGATCATAAATTCAACTTGTCAGCTTTTGACCCTGTTATCTAATTAGTTTCATAAACTGCTCAACTGTCTTAAAGCTGTTTAGGTTTTCCATCCCATTACTGTGCCTGGCAGAACAGTTTCAGAGTCTCAGAGTCTCTTCAGTGATTAAATACATTCTTATTTCAGCCTAACTTTATCTGTAAGTATTTCAAACCACTAAACTTCCAACTTCCATTTTGTTTTATCAGTCATTGACCTTAGATTGATGCAGTCTTCTTTCCCATTTTACTTTTTCACACTGATTCATTTGTGGAAGTCTTGCCATGGTAGGCCCTTGTTCTCTGAGGTTCAGGAAGATCTGTTCTTCCATCTCTTCTCACAACACAGATTCTTGGCTCCTGCAAACAACCTCCAAGCTGCCTTTCAGCAAACGCGCTGTGAGTGAGCTGCTTCTGAACACTGATGATCACAATTGCAGATAATATTCTGGATGAAAACCTGATAGTGCTTCCCACAGTAACATTAATATTTTATGTTCTTTAAACTCTTGTATTCAATGAACATATTCTAGTCTCAGAGTGCCTCATTTCTTCTTTTTAATGCTTTCAGAAATTTATCCTTGGTTTAGGGCTGGAGGACTATTTCTCTGCTCTGGCATTTTGACAAGAAACTTTTAAAAGCTTGTCTCAAACATGGGTTTCATTTGTTTTTTTCCTGTTTTTTTTCCTTTTTTTATTATTTTTTATTTTTAATAAATTGAAAGGAACACTTCAGTTTAAGAAAACTTCAATTTTCTATTCAAATAATAGATGTAAGAGGAATTTTAATGGTACTGAGATACTTTAGATGAATAGACACTTAACAGTAAAAAAAAAAAAGGGGAAAAATAAATGTTCTTAAAGTGATTGAAAAAAGTAGACTCAGAATGGTGAGATTTAGAGTTTTTACAGATTGTAACAGCTTGATAGTTATGTAAGATACACAGAATCCTTGACAAAACAGGTTTTCTAGCATCGGCCAGCAAGCAGATAGAATACATGCGTGGGGGATAGCTATGCTGGCTGTGATAAGCAAGTCCTTAATACTGGAGTGAGTCCATCCAGCATATTAGAGCCATAACTAAGAGTGGGTGACCTTAGTGGTTACCAGAAGGCGGAAAGGTCCCAGTGGTGCGTAGAGATAGCCTTTCCTAAAGTGTTTTTCTTCCAAAATTTACATGTCCTCTGGAAGCTTTGTTCAGGGAACAAAGCATGGTATTGTAATATTTCATGTTCAGTTTACAATTTTTGTTTTCTTTAACACAGTGGGAAAATGTTGTAGTTTGTAATACAGCAATCACTTTTTTAATTAGTGTGCCATTAATTCAGGCTCCAGAGATTCTGATTTATGGGAAGCAAGCCTCAGTTATTACTCTGTGCCATGTTTGGTTAAGCAATCTTAACTAGAAAATGGCAAACTGGGGTGCTGGTGAAGAAGCAGCAGCTTGTGAGCTGCAGGAGCACTGTTCATCGGAGCTCTACAGAAAATCTGACTATAAGCATATTTATACTTGATATTTGACAGAAACTGGTTTGCTCTTTCTGTTTTTGGATGCTCCATGGATACGGAGATCTTCTCTCCTTGCTGCTTTTATAGTGACATGACAGCACGGGCAGTATCTCTGCTATACCTGTGGTTCAGCTGCATGGCTGTCAGAGTTTTAGAAGTGTAATAATAGTGGCAAAGAAAACAAGAAGACTGCACTGTGTTTAACTGAGAGCTTTGTCATGTTGCAAATTGTATTCTGTTGCATGGAAGTCTATGTGCTGCTCAGAGGTAGTTCTAATTGCCACATGAGACAGCGTGCGAGCCAGTCACTGTAAGGCACTTAGGTAGGACAGGTCTGTTGTCCTGAACACCTGAATGTGATTGAAGGTGAAATGACCTACTGAATTCATTCTGAGTTGGTTTATTGGTGATACTAATATGTAACTAAACTTCATTATCATTAATACTCTTAGGCCTAAATGGAAGAAGGTCTCATTTTAGTGAAAGTGGAACCCACCCTTTCTTTGGTTTTTAATTATTAATTTTGTTTAACTTTCTGTAGGATATACTTTCTGTACGTATATAGAAACATAGTGATTACAATAAGAACTATACTATGTCATCAATTTAAAAAAATGAAATAGCAAGTATATTAAGAAAGGAAATATTTTAATGAGGACTAAACATATATCCATTATGAACCAAAAAGATGTATTCTTTTGTGTAAGAGGAGTCTGATTAAGGTCAGCCTGTGAGCGGAAATGGTTGCAATCTGCAACTGAAAAACTGCACCACTGTCTGCACTAGAGATTAGAGCTGGCTTATTTTTATTCACATTTGGTCAACAGATGGTCCAACTGTTATGTGGGCATTCTGGCAATGTAGAAGTCTGCACATCAATGACAAAAAACCCATCGTACGAATAAGGAAAATGTCAGTGGGCATCTTGGCAGAATGAATACTTCACAGCATCAGCTTCTCAAGAAGCAGCATAGCTGGCTGACTTGCAAGGAGAAAACCCAGTAAAACATCATATTATTGCTAAATTAGCCAACACCATTCATTCTGATAAGACTGAAAGAGCAGAAAGGCTTTGAGGCAGACATAGTTTCTATAAAGATAATGCTATTGGCCTTTCTCCAGAGCAGTTAGCTAATATTTGCTGTCTCACTGGATTGTTACCTTAGAAATAATATTAAAAAAAAAAAAATGATATGCTGTGAATAATTCTTCTGCTCAATTGCATTTGCAGAGAATGGTGCATAGAAGGTCCCAGTTTCCCCAAGCAGCGCAGAAATGAACAGCAGCAGGCAGTTTCCAGCCTGATGTGCCTGGGAATACCAGCGTTTTTCAAGGCTGCTGTTCTGATGTGCAGCCTATCTGGCAATGTGGAGCAAGGTGTTAATCCTCCTCTCTTGCCTGCATGTCACCTCACATTTAGCCCATAGCATTGTCCCTTGCCAGGCCCTCTTCCAAGCCAGGCTGTTTTCCCAGCTGTGTCTCCAAACTGAGACAGCTTCAAGGAACAGAACAGAAAATGTGAAAATGGAGGTGAGGAAAACTGTTGCTTCTGCACAGCTGAAGAAGTGCCACGGGAGTGAGAATGTGGATGAGGGAGAAGCACGAGGAGCTGCAGCTGGATGTCACTTTTCTAACTTCTATCTTGAAACCCTCCAACCCTCCTTCTTCCTTGCTTTGTCCATCACTGCTGCTCTGAATTGTGAACCTTTACCTCTTCTTACCCGTACTCGCAGAGGTGAAACCTGCTTCAGTCCCATGGACTGGGCATGCAGTCACTCTCAGTGACATCCACTCTGCCCATAGGATTTAATTTACTTTAGCTGGCCTCACTAGTGCCTACAGTGGTCTTGCTGTCTGAAGGAGCAGAGCTCATTCTGTTCAGGAGGGTTAGTGCTGTTCTTAGCTCTAACATGCTCAATGAATGGAGGAAGATCAAAGACAGCTTTTGATGGTAGCCATTAGCACCTTCCAAAATGAGAGTGCAAACATTCTTTTCACTGATGGAACAGAGGTTGATTATGTTTTCCTGAGATGGTAATACCAGATTGTAGATCACACTTGCTTTTTACATCCCTTTGAAAGGGCAAAGAGGTGAATGTATTGAGCAGCTGTGCCTCCATAAACAAATGTACTGGCACACACTGCTGCACCTATCAAAGAGAGTAAATACTGGTAATGTATTTGACAGTCTGTCTAAATTGCACAAAGCTGACAATTGGCTAGAAACACAGCAGTTTCTTTTTGAATCTGACTGATTTTGTTCCTAAATGACAGTAATTTTATCATGTTGTTTGGTTATAGTGTTGACAAGGTGAGCTTGTTGCTAATACTTGTTTTTAATTTTTGTAACTGATCTACAGTAGGATTTTAACAATGCACCTAATTACTGTGCATATTCAGAGATAAAAGAGTGCTCTTAATGTGTTATTCATAACATGGAGTATGAGAACATTATAAGGCCAGGATTTCCTTTAAATATTAATTTCACGGTAGCCATGGATGCGTTTGGCTCTTGTAAAGAACAAAACACTGAATGCAGCTCTAAATTTTGTTCCATGCAGTTGACTTATATAAATGTTTTCATTCTCTAGAATGGAGGAAACGGTGAGAAATCTACTACAGAGCCAAGGATCCACAGGCCAGAATGGAGAAGGAACTGTCAATATCATGAAGGCATATCAGGTAGTAGTGACTTATTACCTATTTTCTTGTAATAGAAAAGTTCTGTAAAACAGAAGTCTCACTACTGAGATAAATGTGTTGGATGATGTTTCCTCTGTTTGTTACAAATACTTACAAATGGTTGCTAATATCATCTACATTTTTCCAGGTGTTCTCTCATTGTAGTTAAAAGCTTTTTGTTTTTATTGACATTATTATCTGCAGTTGTTACTTTGCACAGCTTACGTGGGACAGTGAAACTAGGTTTGAAGACTTTCTTAAAGTGTTTGTTACTTTAAGTAATGTATTCCAACATCCTTGGAAGACATAGATGCTTTTGACAACTTGACCTTCACATTAGGATGGAAAATTTTATCAGCTCATATTCCTACTGAGTTTGAAGTTTCCATATCAAGCTGCATAATTTCCTCTTACTGCTTGTGGTACATGTGTTTTATTAGCCTCACTTGGGGTAGAGGGAAAGTGTCTCAGGGCAGATTTTAAGCAAGCAGTGATTTCAGAGCTTTTTGTATGGAACTAGGTCAGTTTGTGCTGTTTATGAGAAAGGAGAGTTGTACACTTCTCTAGCGTACTGCTGTGTTCTGGAAGCAGTGAACCTGAGGTGGTGGGAAGCCTCTGGTGGTGGAAAGTCTCTGGAAACAGGAATGATCTACAGCCCAGCTAATCAGATATTCTGCACATTAGTCCTTTTTAAAAAGCACTTGCTGAAGGCAGTTCTGTGCTTTATCTTTTTAAACAAAATAAGCATTTCTTATGAAGATATAAAAGGCTGAAATCATGTGTGAAAGTCTGTACAGGGTACCAACCCTTCTGATAAGACACTTTTCAGAAGGTTTAGTTACCATAGTCCTTTTGTACAGGAGTAAAAATACAGCCGTATAGCTAAACAAAAATGTATATTAAGAAGTATTTACTGCTATAATTGAATTTTCATTTTAAGCTGGGATTGAAGGGAAAAGGAATCTTTTAAGTTAACCTCCCAAAATAATCAATTTTTCTTGGTGAAATGATAGCCTGTAAAATTTAATTTCAGGATGAATTAAACTTTTTGTTGAACTCATAATATAGAACATTGTGCTTTCAGAAGCTTGTTATGAAAGCATCTATATTTTACTTGCTGCCCTTTTGGAATGTGAAACCAAAGCTCAGTTCTCTGCTCTTGGTTGAGTTCTCTGCTCGCTCCTGCCACTACACACCAGGTATTCTGAAGTGGGCTTGGTTCCGTTCTCTACCTTGGGTGGGTTCCTTGATTGTCTGCTTATAACATACACTGTTTATGAAACATTTTATTGCCAGCTTTTCTATACAGTGTTTTACCTTGGAAACCACAGTAAGGTGATACTACAATTAGGTTTTAATTTCTTTGGATTTTATTTTTGAACTTGCAACAAGAGGAAAAATACTATTTTTGTTTCAGTCAAGATGAGGTGTTTTGTAGGTTTCTTTGGAGGCTAAATGCAGAAAATTATTAGCTGTGTGATCTTTTTGAGAGTAGAAATTTCATGCATGTGCTGATGCCCTGGAAGGGAATGATGATCTTTCCAATTTCAGTATTTGTATATTTCTGTGTAAGTTTTCCATCATGTTTTATTTGGATTATAGTTTTTGAAAAGGGAAAGGATTTCTTTTTGTTGGTGCTTTTTTTCTTTTCTTTGGGGCACAGGTATTTGTTGTCACCTGGCAGTCATAAGAATGGTACCATGGCATGTTTAGTGTAAAATCCCACGTGTTTCTTTTCAGTCCGTCACAAGAAAAAGTTTCGCCCAGTTAGTGACATGAAATGCAATTCATTGTTTCCCTTCAGCTCTAGCAGGCAGCCCCCTCCACCTAACACATTGCTCTCTAACATTTTTTCATTTCTTTCTAGGCATGAGGTTTTTTTTTGAAGCTGCTGGGTAATAGTTGGGGCTCACTGCACAGACCAGAGTTAGATGGAGTGTAGCCATTTCTGTCCCAGGATCTTCTAGGGTCCTGTTACTCTAGAATTGTTTGTAATCTTGTGCTTTGCATTGCATAACAATGTCCTTCTCTTCCTGTTCTCTTCTTGTTCTTGGGAATGTTTAACTGCTTGTTTCAATTTTACTCAGGGTAACTAAGTCAGTTTGTGCTTTGTCAATTGTCATAGCTTTTTATTGCAAATATGTGGTTTTCTTTGCATATGAATTCCTTTTCCTAATTCATGACTCAGAAGCAATGCTTTTCCCTTTCCTGATGGAATAGCTCATGTACTGCGTCATGTACCAGTCTGTGATGAGTAAAATAGGTAAAAATATGGAACATTTCCATGAGCATTGTGGTTTTTCTGAATGTATCTTTGAATTATTCATCCTTCCATTCCCTTTGTTATTTTTGAAAAATTTGTTTTCTGAGAATTTCAAGGAATGGCTCTGTTCACATGGAAAACAGTGCATTTCAGCCCTTATACTGCTTTGTAGGCAACAAATAAGTTTGCTTGTTGTATGTTTGTTACTCAGTGATGAAGCAAAAACTATGCAGTGAGTTAGGCAACAACCATGTGTACTAAAAGATATTACCTGAAACACACATCAAAACATAGTTGGCCAAAAATATGTGATCTGAAATGAGAAACACATTAGTAAAGCATTGTGAGAATAATGAATATGTTACTGAAATCAACTGTGGAAATCGTGAACAAACATATAATCTAAATGTGTGATGAATTCTGTTACAAAATCTGATTCCAGGCTTGGCACCAGTATTGCGGTAGAAACTTTTCATTTATATCTTTTTCAAATATGCACAGACTACTTTTTGATGTACTTACAGGTATAATTCACAGATGGAAATAGAACTTGAATATACAGCCCAGGTGAAGTTTCTTTATACCCTGATATATTCAGTTTTTTGTGAACATGATAACCATATTATCATCCTATATTATAAAGTATAGATGTGAGCTAACACAGGAAAAAAGACTTTTTTGACATGAACTCCAAGTGGTGTATATATATGTCACGGAGTTAACTAGATCAATTTATGCCCGTGACAGGGGGCAGTAGGCCCCTGCCCCCCTTACCTCCCCTGGCCCCACAAAATGGGAAGGAAGGGAGGAAAAAAAACCAGCGGCAACAATCTATGGAGGTAAACTTATTTTACTAACTATGATATCGGAATGCAAGATAACACAATATAATACAATCCAATTGAAATTGAGATTAATAAATAAGATATGAGAGAGAGTTCCCGAGACCGAGTCAAACCTGTAAAGCTTGGAACGGCTAGGAAAGCACCTCCAGCACCCACTGCCAGGCAGTAAGAGACCGCCCCACCCGGAGGGGTCAGATCCCATGACTTCTGTAATGTATAGGGATAGGTACCTGGAATTGGAGCATTAACACTTTAATTCCGGTACATGATGTTTTGATGTGGAATACTGAAAACCAAAAAAAAAAAAAACATAAAACCATGACAATATATACATGTATATATACGTATGTATACATATACACACACACACACATCTTCTTATAAAGATACAGAACTTACTGAATCTGTAAATAGTACCATTGTTTTTAAAGCCATCCTTTATAATCATGCAGTTACCTTGTAGAAAGTGTTCTGAGTCATACCTGTTCTCTGTAATAAGGACGATACGATCTCCACTTAGTACTCTTGAGAATCAGTTTTTAGTGTTGTTTCACAGCCATGTATTTTGTAACAAATGAGGAGATGCCAGGAGATCTCTGTTGTGACTTATCAACATATGCCCCATATTGTCTGACACCACACTAAGTCAGCTTTAGTGTGTGTACTCTGTTCAAATTAATGTCTGAATACATCTGTGCAATAAATGCTTTTGATCTATTGACCATTGTCTACATATTTGTTTTTTACAAATCTAATTATGGTTCTGGGATTTATGAAATTGAGTTCTTATTATAATATCAATAAGCCTGACTCCAGAATAAATATTGTTGCTAATGAACATTAAATGTTGCACAGTGATCATGTCAGAGGAATAATAATAAGATAGAGCCTAGAGTGTACAGTATTATTACAATGTTGTGTCATGTCTTGTCAAGATTCTTACTGTTAGCAAAATATTCTAACCCCTTCCATAGAGCTAGCTGCCCTATGGGAATTTAATTTGCTGGACTTACAGATGGATGATGTGATTTCTTTAGGGTAAATGACTATAGAAGCAGGATTGTAAATAAAATTCTCTGTTACTATTTTGCATAATAATAATACTGGGAACATTTATAATGAATGCTCACATAAATGTAGATATGAATACTTGTGATTTGAATTCATGTGAACCATCATGCTTCTTGCTTAAGTGTTTATATGATGAAAAGATTCTAATGTATGAGCTTTTATGTTTCAAAGGGGCATTATCCAGCTACAAGTAAAACTTTGAAAGGCCAAACCAATACCTCACATATTACTACTACCGTCATTCAAGCTACTACTACTTTATTTTACAGGGAAAGTGATCTGCAGAAATAATTGTGAGCAGTACTTCAATCCAAAAAGATAAAACAAGCACCACTGCAGACTCTTCTTCCTAAGTTTGTGCTTTGGATATCAAAAACTAGAGTCAGTTCCCTGCTTGATCACATTACCAAATATCTAGAGTCTTACTTGGTTACAGATCACTCACTGTCTTTCAGATTTTCTTTGAACTGCTTTTCTGTCAGTGTACAGTAATCAAAATAGATGAGGAAGAGTGTCTGTTGTAAGTTCATGATTTGTTACAATTCTGGAATTGTCAGGATGGGCAGTAAAGCTCAGGACAGACATGGCATCAGAGGGGAAGGACAATGTGCCGTTTCAAGCGCTGTGTTCAGGAGATTAGATTTTGATTCCTTCCTTTGACACAAATGTTTCTGTTTCCTTGAGCAAATACACTTCATCTGTCTATTATTTTACCTTTGTCTATAAGAAGGTGGTAACAATATACCTTTTTACTCTCAGGTACATTTAAGATGACATCAATGTGTATGAACTGCTGTTTCTGATAACAGGAGCATTTATAG